AATCACAAATTCAGCTAAATTAACAATAAAAATGAAATAAAATGCCATCAGTAAGATCCAAGCACTATAGAAATCGAGTATGCGTCGTCTAAAAATGAAATTAACCGTGTCATATTTTTCGAAATTGAAAAAAAAAAATATAATGCGATTTGTACTGATTCAGAAAATCGAACCTAGGAATTTGTGAACCCGAATCGTAATTGGAAAAGATCAAATCGGAGCTCGGATCGGGACGAAATGGTTTGTTAGGAGACGAAAACTTTACAAGAGACCGATCTGATCTGATCTGATCTGATATTGAGTTTAGCCGTTCCCCATTTGGAGAAGTCCGATTTGTTTTTCTAATATGATGCCGGTGCAACCTATAAAATTTAGAATTAATTGGAAATGGAATAAAATAAGAACGGCGCCGTTTCAGTTGTTCGTTTAGCTGCTTTAGCCTGAATTTAACAGCATTCGAGTTTACTTTCAACTTTATTCGTCCTTATTTAACTCCTTGGAAGAAGAAACTATTAGTTTTAAACGTTGAAGTTTCCCTTCTAATTTGTATAAATTTACCACCCAAAAAATGTATAAATAAATTCTAATAATTATATTTTGGGCACTTTGAACAGGGTAATTATGTTCAGTTATTATTATTTTTTTTTAATGCACTGCATGTACTGTAGGGTTTTAATGTTTAATCGTTGTCATATATATGTCCTAACTTTTTTTCATGACATTTTTATCATCAATATTTCATTCTTTAATACATATTGTCCTTGATGACAATAATCGTTGAAAAATTCTATTAACATACTTCAAAATGTAAATCTGTCATTTAAGAATTTTTTTTTGCATGAAAAATCTTTATCATGGACAATATGTGCTAACCAATTAAGGTCCTGTTTGGTACCAATTATTTTGGCCAGAAATTGAATTTTTCCTATCGTTAACAATCACTTCAGCTGCACTATCTGACCATCCATCTCACACGCGGGTCCCACTAACGGTAAGAATTTTTATTAGAATTTGGTTACAATATGCACCAGACAAGCATTAAGTTTGAGGATAAAATTGCAATAAAGGAAAGTTGAGAACATAAACATGATAATGATTAAAAGTTAACGATCATTAATGTAATTAAAATGTGGTGCGCGTATACAGAATTGTGTGAATATAGCTCCTCCTTTAATATTCACCAAATAGTTTCTGTTTATTCAATCAGGTCAATTTTGTACATATATTGTCGGGATTGCAAATGAGAAGGAAAAACTTGGGGTGATGTGTGATCTATAAAACCGGTCGCCATGACAATGTTGGATTTACGAGTACAAGACACTTCTTTTAGGTTATTTTTTGAAGAACCACTTTGAATGATTAGTATTTATTATTTAATGATCACATGTTGTGTAAATATAACCCCTGTTTGGTCCCCATTTTTTGGGGTTGAAAATTT